GACCTGACAAAACCAACATGTAAACAACATGTTTTGCAGACGAAATCCTATCCATACGCCACTGGGTTCCCGATCGTGGCACAATTCAATCGTTATGTTAACATTTATTTGAACCTCAATCCTCATTGTTGTTTTTTTATTATTTATCATTTTTTCCCGCTAGGAATGTTGTGCAGTTAATGCTCAAAGCACAACATGATTGCAAAGAGTGGATCTTCTTTATGGAACAAAGTCCCGTGCAAGTCTATGACGATCGACTTTAACTACAGTAAGGCAGCCAATGTTTGGAGCACAACAAGTTTTATGGAACAGTTCACATTAAATGACGATCTTGTCAAATTATGGTATATTATTTAAAGTATTATGTAATTTAAATAAAGTCTCTCATACATTTTAATACTGTCTTGTATGTTTGTTTTTGTGAGAGTGAATCCTGAAAAATATGCAAATTAGACCGCCATGCTTGCCTCTGAGCCTAGGGAGAACACTGAGTGGAGTAGTCTATAGCGAGGAGAATATTGCATAGATTCTTGACGTTAGTGGAGTGCCCTATAGCGAGGAGAATATTGCATAGATTCTTGACGTTAGTGGAGTGCCCTATAGCGAGGAGAATATTGCACAGATTCTTGACGTTAGTGGAGTGCCCTATAGTGAGGAGAATATTGCACAGATTCTTGACGTTAGTGGAGTGCCCTATAGTGAGGAGAATATTGCAGATTCTTGACGTTAGAGGAGTGGCCTATAACGAGGAGAATATTGCGTAGATTCTTGATGTTAGTGGAGTAGTCTATAGCGAGGAGAATATTGCACAGATTCTTGACGTTAGTGGAGTGCCCTATAGTGAGGAGAATATTGCACAGATTCTTGACGTTAGAGGAGTGGCCTATAGCAAAGAGAATATTGCAGATTCTTGACGTTAGAGGAGTGGCCTATAACGAGGAGAATATTGCGTAGATTCTTGATGTTAGTGGAGTAGTCTATAGCGAGGAGAATATTGCACAGATTCTTGACGTTAGTGGAGTGCCCTATAGTGAGGAGAATATTGCACAGATTCTTGACGTTAGTGGAGTGCCCTATAGCGAGGAGAATATTGCACAGATTCTTGATGTTAGTGGAGTGCCCTATAGTGAGGAGAATATTGCACAGATTCTTGATGTTAGTGGAGTGCCCTATAGTGAGGAGAATATTGCACAGATTCTTGACGTTAGAGGAGTGGCCTATAGCGAAGAGAATATTGCAGATTCTTGACGTTAGAGGAGTGGCCTATAGCAAAGAGAATATTGCAGATTCTTGACGTTAGAGGAGTGGCCTATAACGAGGAGAATATTGCGTAGATTCTTGATGTTAGTGGAGTAGTCTATAGCGAGGAGAATATTGCACAGATTCTTGACGTTAGTGGAGTGCCCTATAGCGAGGAGAATATTGCACAGATTCTTGATGTTTTAGTGGAGTGCCCTATAGTGAGGA